AACAGGGAGGCAGCATCTGCTGCTTGTGGTGCTATCCAGACAGCAAAGGGCACTAAAAGGACAGTGAATCAAGTTGTGTCCTCACTAACTGTCGATGGAGTGGCGCAGGGGTTAGAAGTGAGCATCCTTTGTTCTGTCTTCTTAGTTTAGTACTAAACCGGGTAATATTTGCAGGTAGCAGAATTGGAGAAGAAATTTCTCAAACTGCCAAAAATAGAATTGAAATAGGTAATTTTTTAGCTGGTAACTTGGAAGTTCTTACATATCAGTTTGTATGTGTGTGAAGGGGTGTGAAGAGTGCTTTTTTTCCTCTTCAGCTGTTTTCAAGGACATGTATATATGTGTGAGTGCTCACTCAGAGTCAGCTTTAATATCTAAAAGGTTATTTTAGCAGGTTAGTCATGAGATGTGAATATGCCCAAATAAATGATTTTAAAAATATAGTGGGTTGGTTATAGCAGGGACAGCAGAAGTGAGTTTATTTATGATTGTTATGTGGGGTATGGCTTTTCTGTCTTCCTGGAGGGCTGTAATCATACGTAGAAGTATTTTCGTCATCTCCTATACGTCTAAAGCTGGTGTTTTTGGAAGGCTGGCCCTGTGCCAGTTGTCAGGGTTTGGGTAGATCAGGGATGAGTCTAGTAGGATAAGAGGCCTGGGTCTTGGTCCTGCACCCAAACACCCCCACTCATCCTCGCTCTCCTCTTCTCCACAGTGGTCTTGAATGCCTCGGTCCCGTCACCTTTCACATTCTGTGACCTCATCCAACTTCGCCATTTCCCCTCTGAGTTTGGGCCCATTGTAAGCCTTTCGAGTTATACGTGTGTGTCCCCCACCCCCCTTCACTATGTTGCTGTCCAGGTTGCCCCTATATGTCATCCTTGCACCTACACCTAGCCAAGGTGATCGATTCCTTTACAAAATCTCGCTGTGGCACAGGCCTTGGAAATCTAAGTTTACATCCTAACTCTTCCAGCTGTGTGACCTTTGATAAATATCCTTCCCTTTCTGAGCCTTCGGTACCCTTATCTGTAAAATGTAGGTATCAGTTTCTTATGTTGGCTGTCGCAAAAAGTAAATGAGTCTAGTATATCTGAAGTCGCTGTTGCAACACTAAGCACATGGCAGACACTAAATGAAAACTACAGTAGCTCCGCCCCGCCCAGCCTAATCTGTGGTTTTGCTCTCTGAGATTTCAGTTATCCGTGGTCAAGCCTCAGTCCAAAAATATTAAATGGAAAATTCCAAAAATAAACAATTAATAAGTTTTAAATTATGTGCTTTTCTGAGTAGCATGGTGAAATCTTGCACCTTCCTACTTCATCCTACCCAGGACATGAATCATCCCTTTGTCCAGTGTCTCCATGCTGTGTGTTGTACACCCCTGCCTGTTAGTCACGGAGTAACTGTCATGGTTATCAGATTGATTGTCTCAGTATTGCAGTGCCTGTGTTCAGATAACCTTTATTTTACTTAATAATGGCCCCAAAGTACAAGGTAATGATACTGGCAATTCAGATATACCAAAGAGAAGCCATAAGTACTTCCTTTTAAGTGAAAAGGTATGTACGTATAGGAAAAAACATAGTATAAGTTCTGTGCTATAGCAGTTTCAAGCATCCACTGGGGGTCTTGGAATGTATTCCTCACGGATAAGGCGGGACTACTGCATTGTTAACTTCCTGAGACCCTCTGCCATGAGCTATACCCCAACCCTCTCTGCCTTTCCTCTCCTTAGACTTATTGCTATCTCATCCTCAGAGCTCATCACCCTCAGCCCCTCACTGATTGGTTTCTGCCCACAGTACCTCTCAAGGTACACTCAATGCCACTTGGCTGCTAAGTCTAGTAGCTTTCTCCAGCCCCCTATCTGTGGCAGCATTTGATATAAGCCCCTTTTCCCTCTTGAAACTGCCTCCTCTTAACCTTCTGCTCTCTCTGCTTGCCTCCTACTCTCTTGATTCTTGTCCTTTCACTTCTCCCTCTGACCATCCGAGAGTGGGGCTCCTAGGAGGGCCCTGGCTTATAAAGGCTTCTCTTAGCCCCTAGATGCCAAATATGGTGTCCGTCTCCGAGCACGGCGGGGTCAGCAGGCTTAGTTGACATGTAGCCAGGCCAGAGTGGGAAGCGCTGAAGCATAAAATACACATCTGATTTCAAAGACTTAATATAAGAAAAAGAATATAAATTATCTCATGAAAATTTTTTCTATTGATTACATAGGAAATGATAACATTTTGGATATTTTGTTACAAGAAATTAAAATTAATTTCATCTGTTTCTTTTTGCTTTTTTAACATAGCTAGAGAAAACTTTAAGTTATATAGGAGGTTGGCACTTCACATTTGCTAGACAGCTCCGGCTTAGAATATGGAGCCAGCCTTGAGGGCTCATATCCAGGCGGACACTCTCACTTGTCCAGTTAGTGACACACTGAGAGATTTATTCTTTCATTTACTCACTAATGTACCCATTCCATATCTTTTGAGTTTCCCATCCTAGGCACAGAGGAGACAGAGATTAATGCTCCTATAAATGCAGCTCAAGATCACATTTTTCTCTCTCAGCAATTTCCTATTGATGGCTTGAGTCAGTCTTTATGCTGACTAGTTCACAGGACACAGGGGGCACCTTGTGCCCCAAGCCAAGGTCCACACCTGCAGCCATCCCCAGTACACCTTGTGGGGAGTGGGCCATTGTGGGGTGGGATTGGCCCCTCCAGAATAAGGAACATGAGACCTGGCATGAGATGTGACCAGCTTCCTGCTCCAACATTCTGAAGTTTTGAGGCCTCTTGTGCCCCGGTTTCCTCAACAAAATATCGCCCAGTCCTGTCTTGGATGCTGGAGATGGGGGTGGGGGGACTAACACCTATTTCCTGCCCTCAAGCAGCCCCTAGTCAGGAGGGAAGAGGAAGCACTCTTGACTATGATCAACAGCTGCTTTTATAGACTCAAGGTATGAAGAAATAGGAAGTATAGCCCATGACATTGAGGCCTGTCCGCTTCCAGTTCTGCGATATCCAGTCCAGGTGTGTTGGAAGGAAGCCTTAGGGCTCCCATCTCCAGAGCCATCAGGTGCTACCAGCTGTCAGATGCAGCAAGGCAGATCCACAGCCCACCCTCAGGGCTCCTAGACTACCTGTGTTGGGTATGGTGGGGGCTCGGCCACAGCTCCCCAAAAAAGTGACCGGCTGACCCCAAAGCCCAGGCCTGGACAGTTGGGAAGCAAGCGTTGCATTGAAGTTATCGTCCTTGAACTGCTCAAATCTTATTTTTAAAAATTAGATTAATATGATTTGTGTCCTTTTGAGAGGAAGATTCACCATACATCTGTGCAAGCTGGGCTTGCATGCCATGGATGCTGTGTTGGTGCCGGCTTCATGGGGTATGTTAGCTCTTCTTTACCCAGTTGGATGTTCACCCTAATACTCCGTGGTTAGTGAGAACACTGGAAAAAACACCCACACCTTGTTAATGAATCACCTTTGTCAAAGTCAGCCTTTTTGGAAAACAGATAACAAACTCCATGTTATCATCTTGTGTTTGCAATTTGACCAAAGTAATTCAGTGTGGTCATCCTGCCTGTTTGTCCTTTCCAAAGGGAGGAATGGGAGCAGCCTGCCCACCACATAGTCCCAAGGGCTCTTTCTGTCTTCACCCTCCCCTCTGCAGAGTCCAAACCATGTCACGTCCCCACCCAGCACACATTGAACTCACTCATGTTTAAAAGCCCGCCCCATTACCTGTGGTTGCCAAGTTTCTGACAAAGAAGCATGGCTTATTCCTTGTAATTAAAATGTAGGCTTTACCACTGACCCTGCCTGGGATCAAACAGCGATCTGTCTTTCATGATTCTTCATTCCCTTCATCCTCTTTTCCCTTATTCTCCCTTTCAGTGTATATTATAGCCTCTGTCTTTCTAAAAAGTACCGTGGGCTAAATGAGATAGTGTTTGTTTCCTATTGCTGCTATAAGAAACCGTCATGGACTTGGTGTCTTAAAACAACAGAAATTTATCATCTGACATTCTAGAGATCAGAGTCCAGAATAGGTTTTACTGGGCTGCAATAAGGTGTTGGCAGAGCTTGTTCCTTTTAGAAGCTCCAGGGGAGAATCATTTCTTGGCTGTTTCCAGCTTCTCAGGACTGCCCGCACGCCTTGGCTTCCACCCCTACATCATTCTCATTCCTG